ATATAATAAACACATATATATATATATATATATATATATATATAAAGCTGTATATATCGTGGTGTTTAATTTTCTACAAAATCAATTTAATAATACTGTAACATCTTGACGCGATGATTTATATCTATTTGTTAATGATTTAAAATAAAAAATAAAAAAATCAAATCCAATAACAACACGAAAATCTCGCAATATTAGATCTATCTTCAAATAGTAGATTCAAATCATTAACAAGTAGATATAAATCAAGATGTTACAGTATTATTAAATTGATTTTGTAGAAAATTAAACACCATGATATATACAGCTTTATATACAGCTTTATATACAGTTATATACAGCTTTATGAAAAGATTGCATGGAATATTTTTTAATTTAAATTTTGAATATAACAAATACTAACTACATTCACATTCAATAAATAACGTCAAATAAATAAAAACGTTCACTATTCTAAATCATAAAAACTATTCTAAATCATAAAAACGGAATATGCTTTTTAATTTCTTGATTCCATAAGCCGATTAAGCACTGTGTATTCGAATTAGTACATCGCTGTTTAAAAATACGCAAAATTTAACACATAACAAATATATGTACAAATATATTTTCATGTATATATTTTCATGTACTCAACGCAAAATTGTCATGATAACTTTTGCTTAATATAAAGCTTCTCATAAAAAATTATTTTTGAATTGATAGTACTTTCTATGCAAGTCATAATTTAAAACGCGTTTATGCATATTTAAGAATACTGGACAATAATGAACAATAACTACTAGCTTGTATTTTTTGTATTTTTATTTTTATGATATAAGATGGAAAGATACTTTCAAATTTTTGCAATTATAAAAAATATAAATTCATACGTAACAATAATATTATAATTTATATAATTTACATTCATTTATATTTATTGAATATCTTGCTCAGATTGAATTCTTGATATTAAAAAATCAATATGTGATTAATGTTGTTTTAGATCGCCTCTATGATGACTACATATCTGGTTATACTATTACAACTTCAATAAGAGTATTTTGGAAATATAATTAAAAAAATTCCAAGAACGCTGCATTTCGCTGTTATAAATTTTTACATATATTCTAACATATATTATTATCATATATATATTATTAAGTTGGTATATCTGAAAAATATATCGATTTTGAATCAATAATCTGTAAATAATCAAATGAGATATAATAAATATGTCTAATCATGATTAACTGATTTGCATTCTCTGTGTTAATAATATTATTAATAATTTATTTTGTCTAATTTTACAATAGAATAAATTGCGAAAGCAATATATAAGTAATACAGCAGTAAGCAATTTATATTAATATAATTAATATTTCATGTTTTTCCCATGCATAATTAGAAACTACATATCCCTTTTACTGCGATATAATATAATTACGTTACATTTATTGCTATAAAGAAATTTTCATTTAATTAATTAGTTAATATTTTTATTTTTGATGAAGTTCTCAAAAATTTTTGTTTTTTGTTCGATTACATCCACTTTAAGCTACTTTCACTTTCTCAGTAGTAGTATAAATATGCTGTAATGGCGAAGTTACGTGCAACAACATTTGCATGTAAATTATTGTCGTCACTGATTACAAAAGCTTTTTTAAATTTATTCTTATAAAGAAGCTGTCTTCTCCAAAACATATGCAAACCAAAAACATCAATTTTTTAAATAATCTCATCAAGATTGCATAGATTCGTAATTGTCCAGCCAAATCTAAAAGGATTTCTTGATTAATTACAATCTAAAATGATTTCTATTGATAATAC